CCAAAAAAAAAAAAAAAAAAAAAAAACTTGGAAGAACAGATCCAACAGATTCTATAAAAACCAATGGAGGTTTTATGTTTTTGTTCGACAAATGATGATGCTCCTGCACACTGACATTACACTACATGACTTTAAATTTGATCCTCTGACCGAACACATCCAGCAGTCAGAAGCGGAAGAAGAAACAGATGGAAGACGATGAATGTAGACAGAGTCGAGGGGGTGGGGGTTGGGGGTGGGATGTCTGGGATTCCAGCAGGATTAGGCAGAGGAAGTCATGACTTTATTTGAAGTGCTTAAATAGTAAAGCTGAAAAAATACCAGAAAGTCAAACTACTAAACTCCACTGTTATAACAGGACATGTCCGAATACAGTTAGTTCAGTGCACATGCACAACTGCCTGCTTATCCCAAGCTTCTTTAAATGGAAGTCATTCTAATATTCAGACTTACTGCAGTGTGTGTGTGTGTGTGTGTGTGTGTGTGTGTGTGTTGGCCAGCAGGACAAAGAGTTTCTTGTATTTTGGGGAGGGGTAGCAGGGCCTGTTGCGTCAAATCCTGGGGGGCCAGGGATGGGAATTTTCTGTGTATGTGAGTAGAGGAATGCTGCTGTTTGCTGAGTGAAGAGCACAGAGGCAGCGGAGACTGTCCAAACACACATCTGTTTGCTGAGTGTGTGTGTGTGAGTGTGTGAGCCAGAGGGAAATGTATGGTCAGTGATGGAAATAAGTTCAGGGGAACTCTGTGTGTGCTTTCCATTTTGCTGTGACCTTCTTCTCAAGGAACACTTTCATATCCAGTCCTGGTCGTCACGGTGAAGGAGCTGACGGCACTGAAAGAAGTCTGTCTCTATCTACCTGTGGCCGACTCACAACAAACACACACCAGTGCACACTGCACACTTTGCTCCAGTTGTGTATGAAGGGGCTTGTGTTTACTGTATCTGTTTGTTTGGCGGCTGTAAAGGACCGTGACTGAGAGCTTCAGCAGCCAACGGGAACGTGTTTGAAAGGAAAATGTGAGAACAGAAGATGAGCATCAGGTAGGGCAAGGTTGAAAAGATTAATTTAGGAGAGATGAAGTAAGCAATAGTGGAAATGAATGAAACGGAGTGAAGGATTTGAGTATTAGCTGAAGTGGGAGAGGGAGATATATGTAGGAAAATTGAAAATATGAAAATATGTGATCTGATAAATAAGAGCAGAAAAGTGTTGGATGTTATGTGGGAGGAAATATCAGGGAATGTGAACGTGTCAATTTACTTTAAAGTCTCTTAATCTTGCCACAGAACATGAAGGCAATTGTTTTCTTTTGTTAGGTCAGTTTGACTTTTAAACTAGATCAAATTAGAAAAAAACCTGCATATTGTTATTTAACACACGTCAACACGGACAGAAAATATGTCTGTTTTCATTGTTGCATGTGTGTTTGCAGTTAGTGAGGCCTGTGCTGTGATTTATTCTAAGGCCAGCTGTCCTGATGGGATCCCAATGACTCTAGCAGCTGCAGACCTCCATCACAGGAAGATAAAGAGGCACTGAGACATTTTGGAGGAGATTTGGACAGTGGAAAAGTCAACAGATTTTTTTAGTCTGCTAAGTTTACTTTGCATTTTTTTTTTTGTTAAAGTAGGGATTTATTCATGCAGTAGATACTAATTTTTTCACAAACTTATTGTGGAATATATTGTTTTATGAAGTTTAGATGACAATAAGAGACACTTAAGATGTATTTGTGAACTGAAAATAACAAGTGTGCAGTTCAGAACGTATGGTTTACATTGTTTTTTCTAACAAACAATATGTTCTCTTCCCTTACAGGTCCGGCTGAAGTTCCCATGATGTCCCCAAATGGATCAATCCCACCAATTCACGTACCTCCAGGATACATTTCACAGGTTTGTCTGTCATTGTGATTTTCATGAGATATGTACACAGAAAGATTTTTAAAAACTTTTTATTACATATGTACCGGTAACACACAAATACAGTAAACATTTTTGTCTGAACAGTGACCGTAACACGGCTGGTTTAAATAAATAAATACTGTAGCCTACCAGGAAGTCACTGATCACTATCTTCATTCCTCTTGTGCACTAAAACCACTGACGTCATCTTCAGAGTCAGAACTGAACGGCCTCAGAAAAACTTCAATTGGCTGATTGATGGATGAGCTGCACGATTGACATGGATTTTTATTTAAAATAATCTTAATGATTTAGTACCTGCTGCACAGGTACACAGGTCTGTGTGCAGCCCACAGCTACAGAAGTTCCCTCCTGCAGCTGATCAGCTGATCTCCGCTCCGCATACATATATACATATATATACATATATATATATATATATATACAT